TCCAATAACCAGCTAACATGTTTAGAGAAGATTTTTTTTATTCTTTGTTATGGCTGGTTTATACTGAAGTCCTTGGAAAAAAGTGTGTCTACAGAGTGTCCCACCTTAAATTCCATCGATGGATATCTGGGAAGTCGATACTAACTTTCTTATTTTAAATGGAACCCACTGTATATTATTGCATTTTTGGAAACAGCATCCATTTTTAAGTTGAAAACATATAGCACACTCCATACTTAGGTTTGACCGTTTCCGAGATATTTCGATTTATAAACAAAAATTTACAGATGCAGACTGTCAGCAAAATTTAGTTTTCCCGGTTTATTTTTTTGTGCTAATTGGACATTTTGTAGAGAAAGACCTACTTTATCGAATTTGACATGAAAATTTTCCAGTTTTTATACAGGGTGGTCAAATTTTTTATCGAATATGAAGTTCAGAATATGTGGAAAACTCGAAATTTTTAAATGGAAACCCCTAATTTTTTTGCAATAATATACAAGGGGTTCCATTTAAAATAAGAAAGTTAGTATTAACTTCCGGTATAACCGGAAATACGATCACCTTTTAGCTTGGTAGGCTCCACAGTCCGTATCACGCCATCACAATTTCAAAAAAATCCTTCGTGCGGTTTCCCAGATATCCATCGATGGAATTCGTGGTATATGTACGGTTAAAGTGTTTACTTGGTAAGTTTGTATCCTAGCCAAGTAAACACTTTAACCGTACACATATATATTTTTTAATAGCTATAATTCATTAATGATTAAAATATTGTTTTTGGGAAGAAGAAAACGCCAACATAGATTTTGGGTTGGATCACTTAAATAGAAAACACAACACGAACGTTTCCACTAAATAGACTTGAGTTTCAAAACACCTTTTGATGTGACCGCTTTCGAGCGGAACCCGAAAAACAAAACTCCAACTGTCGCAAAACACGCCAGTCCTCAAAAAGTTTGCGAAAAGTTACAGTTTTGATTTATTCGACACAAGTTTGTGTTTTGTTTTTGTTTTGTCCGTTTAGGCGGTTTTCCACTAAACGGACAGTTGAGTTTATGTTCTGTTTGTGTTTTCTAGAACCTGAAAAACAAATACAAAACTGAAACAAATCCAAAACTCTTGTTTCCATCAAGCTGGCTACATTATGTTCGAGTTTTGTTTTTGTTTTCGGTCCTTTTCCACTGGTTGTCGCAAGGAAGTCAGAACACATTTTTCCAATAACCAACCAACATGTTTAGAGAAGATTTTTTATTCTTAGCTATGGCTGGTTTATACTGAAGTCCTTGGAAAAAAAGTAAATGTATAGTATATGTACGGTTAAAGTGTTTACTTGGTTAGTTAGTTTGTTTGTATACTAGCCAAGTAAACACCTTAACCGTACACATATATATTTTTTAATAGCTATAATTCATTAATGATTAAAATATTGTTTTTGGGAAGAAGAAAACGCTAGCATAGATATTGGGTTGGATCACTTAAATAGAAAACACAACACGACCGTTTCCACTAAACAGACATGAGTTTCAAAACACGTCGAAACCTTTTGATGTGACCGCTTTCGAGCGGGACCCGAAAATCAAAATTACCAACTGTCGCAAAACACGCCAGTCTTCAAAAAGTTTGCGAAAAGTTACAGTTTTGTTTTATTCGACATGAGTTTGTGTTTTGTTTTTGTTTTGTCCGTTTAGTGGAAAACCGCCATTAGGTTGCATCTCGGGTAGCATAAAAACATTTCCAAAGTTTTTAATAAATAACACAGCGTCGGCCTTTATTTTCGTTGAATAAATTAACTTTAATTTACAAAAAAAAAACGCGAAGATAGAACTTTTTCGTATAAGACTTTTCTATTACAAGTAGATATAATCAAGAAGCTGTAGTTTAATTTTTATAGATTATACACGCCACACCCTGTACATTTGCACTTTTGTTTGATTGATCAGATATTTGTTATGTACAATTTCTTCAATTAATTTTTTATCCACCTCGGTGATCGTTCTTAGCACAAATCCATAGAATAGAAATATGACTCGTCTGTGACCGGTTCTTGGATGGAAACTCAGGGTTTATTCCCTAGATTAGAGAAGTATAAGTATAGAAGTATATAGAGTTTATTCATAATATTATAGATTATGGCAAAAGAAGTGTGCTACCAGGACCGCGCCAAATTGTAGCGTGAGCACAAATAATATAATTGTTCGTACCGTCAGTAGAGCGTTAGCGTTACATGATTTTATTAAAAGTATGAGCATAAATGTCGATTACTTACCTACTTTGTCATTTTACAATATTTGTATAAAGTAAAGCAAAATATTAAAAAGTATGATTGTCTATTTTGATATGAAAAAAGAGCACGGCCATCTCAGCAATATTGTTAAGTATTTCTCTAGTTACGAAATTAAATCCGTTATTCTAGGTGCATGGGATGAAGATGGTAAAGGTGAAAATATTTGGGATCGCTTTACGCACTCTCACCCTGAATTTATTGCTAATAATGACAATGGTGATGTAGCTTGTGATTCTTGTCACAAGTACAAAGAAGACGAGGCTATGATGAAAGAATTATGCGTTGATTTTTATCGATTCACTATCCTGGTCAAGAATACTTCCTACAGGTATTTTTATGCTTTAGTAATTAAATTTCTTTCAATTCATCATCTTATATCTATAAAAAAAACTAAAAACATTTTTAATTTGCACAATTTAGAAACCGATGAATCTATCTCTAATAGTCAAGGAGATATATGGTTGTAAAAGTATGCTATAGAGATAATACTGGACAAAAAGTTATCATCTAAATTCGCATTTTGCTAATAGCACATTCTTTTAATTTCTTGGTTATATCAGTAGATATGATAGGCGGGTTCTGGACCGGATGTGACGTCACAAGATGGCGGCAGTCTGCGAAGGGATAAGATGACTGCGGTCTGCAGCGGATGTGACGTCACAAGATGGCGGCGGTCTGCGTGGAAGGTGATTGGTCGTTAGGGATAAGATGGCGGCGGTCTGCAGCGGATGTGACGTCACAAGATGGCGGCGGTCTGCGTGGAAGGTGATTGGTCGATAGAGATAAGATGGTTGCGGTCTGCGTGGAGGAAAGCGGGTCGCTGAACGTTAGGAACAAGATGGCGGCGGTCTGCGTGGAAGGTGATTAGTCGTTAGGGATAAGATGGCTGCGGTCTGCGTGGAGGAAGGCGGGTCGCTGAAGAGGAGGGCGGGTCGCTGAAGAGTTGGTCAATGACCAGAGGGTTAGTTCGGAATTCTGCCGCCAGGATTTTATAGATGTCGCTGTTGGGAGGAGGCGGGTCTGCATGGCGGCGTGCGGCGTGCGGGGTGTGGCACGTAGCGGCAGGTCGCTAACAACAACAAGATGGCTGCCGTCTGCGCGGAAGGCCCCAAAATTAATGCTAATGACTTCCAGGTCAAACGAGGTCATTCAATGAAAAAGACCAATATTTGTGCTGCATATTTGTGTAGAAAATATTTAAAACTCATGTTGGATTTTACTACCGAAATTCCCCAGCGTAATTACAAATAATTAACGTTATCAAAAACACATTAGTGAATAGTAATTAAAAACCAATATTTGTGCTACATATTTCTATAGAAAATATATATTTAAAGTTTATCGTTCGAGGGTCACACGGTGTCAACGCGTGACAGAAAGGTCCCAAGCAAAATCTGAACCTCTTGTCGAGCTCGCCCGACGACTTATAATTTCTCCACATAAGTACAGGTAATTAGTGTTATCAAAAATACATTAGTGGAATATTAAATACAAAGCCGTTTGGTGGCTAATTGTTCGAGAACACATCGCATTTAATGTGTCACGGAATATCCCCATAATGACCCAGTCGCATTAGTGCATCACGGAACCGCATTTTGGATATAAAAAGACGCGAGCTTTCGATTTAGAATTATACTACCTACACACATCAGAAATTGGTATTAGTGCAGTGTTGCTACGATCTGAAATATTAAGTAAGTAATAATTTAAATTATTTTCTAAATCCTTCCGTTGTTTATTCAAGTAATTGTATCTAGTGCTCCTAACAAGTAAGTTATAAGTTTTTGAAATGGTTTTTTGCATTTTACAAGCTTTTATATTGTTATAATCTTAATGCAATTAAATAGTTAACCAAACATTCTTTACATTTAACAAGCTTTTAGTTATACAAGTTATAAACTCTGAAAGTATTGGTGGAAATAATTTAATTATTATATTTAAGATCGCTGGCTACGTCACTTCATACTATTACTCTCAAACATCGCATAATAAATATTTAATATAGTCAGGTAATTCAATATTTCTGCTGTGATAAATAAAATGTTTATAAAAATATTTTTTTATAAATGTTTTAGGTGAACCTCTATCCCATTTAACGATGTCCGTACAAGAGTGGGAACATTTGAAAATTGATGGATTGTTATGGGAGCTGAATTCTACAGCATGGACCGAACTCGAAAATGTCAATTATTGTCTTGAGGAGGAAGATAAGGCATACCATATGAATAATGTCGACAAGTGTTCTTTGGGTGTCAATTTATGCCAGAGATACATATATGGAATATTAAACATTGAGGAATTCTGCAATGCGATGATTGATGCGGGTTTAAAAGGTTTTCTCAACAAAATAAGCAGTCATTTACCTGAAGATATTTTAAATATGTTTGGATTAAATGAGACGAGTGACTATGAGAGTGACGGAGAAGTTAGATAACCGAAAATACAATATTTGTAAATTTAAACAATTTCCACCTATACCCATGTACTTTAATTTTATTTTTATGTTATAAATTGTCTTTTAATATATGTATGCATAATATAAATATATAATTATTATTATTTGTGGATTTTATTTATTTTTTGGATAGGATAAAACAAATAAAACAGAAATTATATAGACATTATTTTATTTTTTCCAATTAAATTACAAAATTAGCAGCTACCTAATTATAATGAATTATATAATATTTATCAACTAAAAATCATAACAGTGCTACTTAAGAAATGGAAAACCATTGTGTACAGAGCCATCTAATATATTGTATGTGAGGTAAGCATCGTGAAGAATTAATGCGTAAGCCTTAGTATTGGCTGGAAATTTATTTTTTCGAGTTTCAAATTCCAGTTTGATGTCCACCGTAGAAGATTTTAAAGTATCGGCTTGATGGGAGCAGTCAATAATAAACAGTGGGTTCTCCAGGAATTCTCCAAGGTCCATCATGGGTTCACTCATATCTTTACCATAGTAGCTTCTTTGGAAATTCTCATATGCATAGTAGGCAGAAGAATAGATTTTTTTGGAGAAATCTAAATTCCAACGCTCATATGGGAATACCTCCGAATTCAGATAAAGTCTAATGTTGCTAATATCAGCATGAATAAATTTTGTGGCATCCATACTTCTATTATCACTGCTATCAGTATTTTGAAAACCGATAATAATATAGCGAGGTCTTTCCAGACTAGTGCTAGTCTTTATAGCCCAAATGTCCGAAGATGTTTCTCGTAAAGCGGGCAACTCGTGGAGGTCCCACATGCGGTAGGCCACTTTAACACTCGTCTTACAATTACCCTTACTCAGACACGACAACAGTTTTGGTTTTTGTCTGTCATCGGGAACAATATGTCTTATTTTCCACTCAATTTTACTTATTTCAATTTTAGCATCAACTTCACCTATATAGGAGTTATTGTAGGTACGGGCCATAATGAATATTAATTCTTGCTTAACATTAAAAATACCCTTCGTGTAATCTTCAGCGAAGCCCATAAGATACTTTAAGGGGAGCCTACCACTGAAAGTCCCACTGGCACCATCGAGAATATCTTGTTTGGTGGTGGTTAGACCCCATCCACAGGTTAACAGACTTCGTTTTTGTGTCTCACCAAATGATGTCATAATTTTTAGTGTGGTAGTAATACCAGGTTTTCGAACTATAGCCACTTGTTCACCACCCATCTCATAACGAATTTCCTCGAAGAGGAAAGCCAACGCATTATTGGAAAGCTTTTGTAGGGTCATTCGATGTAAATTTTCCTTCAATATAGATGTAACTATCTGCGATATCAAGTATAAGATCTTGAAAATGAACACCAATTCGTATTTCATCAGAATTTTTATAATTGGGAGATCCAAACGGTTTATATGTATATTCATGTAAACTAACGAGTGAATTATCTAGGACGGGTTCTTCAAAAACTTGTAACTTTTCACTTGTTGTAGAGACAGCCATATTTCAATATTACTTAACGAGAGTTAATCCAATTGATTCGAGGAAGAGGCGATCTTTACGCGGTAATATGGGACGTGTTGATGGTCTAACTGCTGTCGAATGAGTTGTTTTCTATCGACTACGTTTATTTTATCCTGCTGCCATCCATAGCACCCATCACGATCAAGATCCCGCCGACGTATTTGTGTATTATAGTGGAAACCCATTCTGTGGATATATACAAATATTATTCAGGCTAATTGTTTTAGCTCATGCTTCACAATTATTTTTTCTCCGTGAAAATCAATCAAATCACCATTGTCATCTAAAATACTCAAAGCAATGTTGTCGATAAACTGACGTCCCTCCGGTCGAACAGGCATATAAATAATATTTTGCAGCTCCTTGGTAAGTTTGTGACCGGGTTCCACATCAACATCAAATTCAAATAGTGTATGCGATGGCTGACTGTTTAAATATGCATCGGATGTGATGTTACAATCTATACGCACAATCCTCACTTTCATAATGTTAACAGGTAAAGTAGATTCATGAGTTTTATTGGCCTGAAATCGTCCTCGTTCAAAACCCAACAGATTTCCCACAGAATTGGGAGATGTAAAATCAATTTCGTATTTGGAATGCACTTCACATTTCAACGTGTTGTTGTTAGCCCGTAAAGAGAATAGCGTCTCATCACTATCCAACTGCTTGTTGTTAATATTTATAGCAGTCACTATTGCATTATTAATTTCTTCTATTTCATATGCCCCAGGGGGTATTTTTATAATTTCAGGTGTGGTTTTATTCTTCTTTCTGTATGCAAAGATATTGTTACCTTTATCAATGTTGTGAATCGAGTTATAGGAATAGAAGCCGAGTAAGCCCAAACCATAACGTTGACTTCCATCCAGTTCAATGGGTGGGTAGAAGTGTGTATCGAGTACACTGGATTGCCCAAACAAGGTGAATGTACGAGACATGACTGAATAACACCACCGAAATCAGTTAATTATGAATGATTGCGGCAAAAGAAA